TCTTGATTTTTCCATGTCAACCTTTCCGGTTTTCTTTCAAGTTTAAAAGTAAATTAGTTTTCAAAACTTAATGAACAACTTATATTCTATTTCTACTTTTTCGTATTTGTTTCGAACTTTTCAAATTTCGGTTTTTTAATATGTTTGTTAAAAGGAACGGAAATGACTGTCTTTGGTCCATTCGTTTCCTACAAAAATCGACTTTTGCTAGAGCCACCATCTAGTAGAGGTGCTTTTTTAATGCTTTCGGTTTTTTTAATACTTCCTCATTAGTATCTCCTTTTAATACATACTAACTAGGGGCACAGTACAAATATATAAGTAGGTGCACTCGAGACTCGAGCGAGAGATAATGGCCTAAACATGTAGGGCTGTCGCTTATAGTTTATTCAATCGTCAGAAATGCATGGTCAATCAATCTCTAAAACATAGCTTACCCCGGTATGATAAGCATCTGGGAACTGTAATACAACTTTTTTATGTATATAGACCAGGAGTTGAACACGTCATGTCATCAATTTAGTGTTTTGTAAATTTAAAACGTGGTGTGAATGAATTATGTATTTATTAATTTTTTTCCAGATAATCAGGTTACAATTAAAATAAGATAATGTCGATTTTATTTTTTAATATCAATGGCCCGTATTTATCAAATTGGCGGTATTCTGACATAGAGATTTAATTAATTCATCTACAAATTGATAAAGCTTGAGCAGAAATGATTCATAAACACTCGATGGATAAATATAATATTTTGGTTTAGTTTTCAAAGTCTTGTTTACGTCCAGAAATTTTATAAAGAACGGTAATACAGTGACGCGCAATATACGCAATCACAGCGTAGTAGCCACGACTGGCGAGTAGCCACTCGTGCCTTGAACTTCTATAACTAAGATAATTTTGTGTGTGCTGCGACAACGCATACGCACGGGCGCGCTCACATACAAACTATTTTCGGTGCTTATGTATGAAGAGCACTTACTCTTTATACTCTGCTAGGGGTGAGTGTTCGACGCATTTTCGATCAATGAAACGACGTTTGTCGTTCACCGTAAACTAGTCTAAAAACTGTTTTTTTTTACTTATTTATTTTATAGTCGAAATGAATGAAACAAGAAATTGTGTCGAAGTAGTTGGTTGATAGGCTTTCAGCATATACTGTTTAGTCAACTTCGTTGTCGTTAACCTGACAACGGTTGAGTAAGTTTGAAGACTGAAAATTAACTTCCCTACCCAAGTAGCACAAAACACCATTATATCAAACTTATAATAGAACGAGTCCAAGCGTTAAGCATTATAATAAAATCGTATATCAACCGTATTTCTTTTAAACGACTCTTATACGTAAAATTTGGGCCCCCCCTTTATACGACTTTAAGCTTTATAAAAGCCACAAAAAGTTCAATTAGCACCTTAAAGTGCTAATTGAACTTTTTGTGACTATATTACAATTGTTATGCGTAAATCAAAATTATAATACGTTAATTTAATGTTATAAAAATACTGACTGTTTTATTTCCTTTGTAAAAAAAGTATATTTAATAGATTTTATAAACATATAATCGGTTTAAATTATTGTTTTGTGTAAGTGTCATGACATGTTCTCTTGGCTGGTCTTTTAAGTATTTTTGAATATTGATTTAAACAGCTCGTTATGTGTGAAATAAGCTGCAAACATCAGTTTGTGGAGTAAAATATACAAGTTTATGGTGTAAAATACACGCGCCTTCGCAAACTTCCTTTAATATGATAAAAATAATAAAAAAATTAACCTAGTAGCAAAAATTTTTGTTGAATTTTAGGCTTTTTAGCATTGTTTTAACAACATTATTGCTTTTATAGGCATCTGTGCACAAAATAAATGATTATTTACCCCTTTTCATCTGACACAGTTGACTTTAAATATTTTGTAAGAATTGGAAAAAGAAAGAAAATGGCGACTCGTAAAATTAAAGCATTAGGTATTCAAATATGGTGTAGTAGAGCTGTTAATTGTATTATGGTTAGACACAAAACTAAGAGCTCGTAATTCACCGTATAACACACTCCCATTTTAGTTACAGCCGTATTTTTACACTTCAGAAGTATCTTATAGTGCTTATAATCATCAATCAATCGATTATTTCATTTTTATTTTGATTTTTAAAAGCTTCAATTAAATTAGAATACTCTTTTTTCAGTTTTCTTTTATATCCACCTGTTTTCTTTGTTTTCCCAACGTTTTTTGTCCGTGGCGCCAGCGATGCGTATAAAATGCCACCATTACAATACAATACATAAAATAATTTTACATTTTAATGTCACATAAAAAATAATTACGATCTATTTATTACTTGTATCTCTATAAATAACTTAATATTGATCAAAATATAGCCTAATGTTTTATAAAAGCATAGATTAAGAAGATAAAGGAGCTTGAGCTTGATTAAAGAATACTTTAAGAACAAATCGGTGCTAAAGTTTTACTAGTTCTTTATTCAATGTGTATATAGGATAAGCATTAAATTGATACAACCATAGGCCATTAGAAAACCTTTGTTTCTAGAAAATGACTAAATACAACTAAGTGCACTAAATAATATTACGTTAATGCTTATATAATATATAATGTTTTTCATGTCACCGAAATACGATAACAGCTTTATATTAATATTACCCAATACTTAAATAGGAGTTTTGACATTGGTATACTTTTTTTATTAACCATAATATGGCATTAAGCATTATTAGATAAAATAAATGCCTTTAAACAAATTCGAAACTTGACCAGTGCTGATTAAAAATATTAGTATGACTTTAGGACATAAATCGGTACTTATTTTAGTTAATATATTATTTATGTGCTACTTGGGTATTTCATTCGTATTATTGTTAGAATTAAATTTTATGAACAAATTAAGATTATCCACCAAATTATTTGCTTTTTTAGTTATTTGCTATTTAGTTAGTATATTTAGTTATTTGCTTTTATTCACCAAATTATTCAAACTAGTGATAACGCAGTCGAGAAAATTAAAAAGTAGGATGCTACTTGCATAATGTAATCTTGACTCAAATGTGTATTTATCCTTATTAGCAACTTTATGCTCTTACGTTAAAGTTTATTTTTAAAATCTTTTTAACGTAATCGAACGAGCGAAATAGATAGTACGCTGTCGATCACGAAGAACAGAGAGAAATATAGTCTCGCAACCGTTCGTGCCGCGGTGGACAGTTCACGCATAATCTACATAGTTTATTAGTAGACCGTAAACTAGTCTATCAGTTGATACCCAATAAACAGTTAAGGTTGCGTAAAATTTCAAAAGTATTAATACGTTACGTGACAACAGTATCGATATAAAAAAAGAATCGGAAGAAAAGTATCGTTTCCTAGAGATATCGAGTATTTTTAATAGATGTATAAAAAAATCTGAATGGAGTATTTGTTTTGTTTAATGTTTTTACGACGGTTACATTACAATAGAAATTATCTTCACAAATAAAAAACAATCACAGCAAAACAGCATTTCTAATGATGGATTCTGAATTCTGATGTATCAGGCCAATCATTGAACATTTTATTTTATTCAGTTTTTATATTGAAACAAAGCTTACTCTGGTTTCGGTGTCATCTAATATAGATATAACCAATTACTTCTTATAATATTAGAACACCTTACATATGAAATTGGCGTTTTGTCGTACTGGCCACTTTAATCACAAATTTCTCCTTGGTTGGGAATTCCAAATTCAAATATATACAGCCGTTTACACATGTATTTGTGTTTCGTTAGGCGGCATTCATTTGTTTTTTTTTCTGTTTGTCCTATTTACGTCACCCAGTATAAAAAATGGAAAACTTTAAATATCGTGTTATTTACGACTACGAGTTCCACCGTGGTGTATGGCGGTTGTGTCGCAAAAGAAAAAAAACAGTGCGTTTTTGGTTCCAACGTTTTCGTTCTGGAAATTTCGACCTGCTATTAATAAAGAAAAATTGTAGGCTATTGTGGAAGCGGATCGCTACGATAATCGGAAGCGCTCATCGCAATGGTTGAACCGTGGCATGCCAACCAAATCCCGCCCCAAGCGAAAATTGACCCCAAAAAGTTACTTGAAAGCGTTTGGTACACTAGTGCCGATGTCGTTCTTTACAGTTTTCTCAAATCTGGCCAAACGATTAAGGCAGACGCCTATTGTCAGCAATTGCAAACCATGCTGGAAAAACTACCTGTTAAAGAACTGAGGCTGGTCAATCGCTACACGTCACTGTTACTTCACGACAACGCTAGACCACACACTGAACAACAGACGGCTACCAAATTAGAAGAGCTTCAATTGGAATATCTAAGATATCCACCGTACTCCCCGGACCTTGCTCCAATAGATAACAATTTTTTTTTCAAAATTTGGATAACTTCTTGCAAAAGAAAAAATTCAACTCCGATGGGGCAGTGCAAATCGCCTTCAAAGATTTTATTGATTCTTCCGAATGGTTTTTTAATAAGGGGATCAATGAACTACCTATGGGATGGCAAAAGTGCATAGATAACAATGGTTTATACTTTGATTAAATAAATATATATAAAAAAATATTCGACTTTTTGTACCTCCCATACCAAACACCAATTTCATAGGTAAGGACCTAATATTAAGTAATTCCAATATTTACATATTGTCAAAACATCGGTATGTCAATATTTTCAATTAAATATTGATGTTAATTAAACATTAATTAATATCTATCAATCCTACTAGTGTTGTGTTGGTTTTGTTTAAAATATTTTTATTCTTTTTCGTTGATTAATGATTTACTACAAATGGTGAAAGAGGAGGAAAGTATCGATTGCAAAAATATTTGTATCAATACTTTTTTGCGTATGCCTATAAAGCCTAAAAAACGGTTTGTTCATTCAACGTTCTTGCTTAATTTAAACTGTGGATGTATGGACTGAAAACTTTTTCCTTAAACTAAACGACAAATAATGTCTTTCTTGACATTAATGTCTTTGTCAATTGTCAACATAAAATATTTTAACCTTAAAAATACATGATTTGTTAGGATTTAATAATAATAAAATGAATCGACTGGTTTATCTAACCAGGTGTGTTAATAATTCCATAAGAACCACTTATGTTTTATGCCGGGAACCAACTAGACATAAACCTAAAATTATACAAAATTTTCATTTTCGAAGTATTCACGAACAAAAAAGAAATAATCGGTCAACTCTTAACTATATGATTGCTATCGGTGTTACGACTGTAGGCTTAAGTTATGCTGCAGTACCATTATACAGAATATTTTGTCAAGTAAGTTGTATTGTACTTTAAGTACTATATACTTACTTATTGTTATCTTACTGCATTGTTTCAGACCAATTTTAATATTTCATTCTCATGCAAATTTTCAGGCTTACAGCTATGGTGGCACCACAGGCCATTCAGAAGCAAATGATACAATTAGCAATATGAAAGCAATAGAATCAAGACCTATTAAAATAAGGTTTAATGCAGATGTTGCTTCCTCTATGCAGTGGAATTTCAAACCGCAGCAGATAGATATCACTGTAAGAATATTTGAAAAATTAATAACTTGTATAAATATTAAATATTTTCTTAATATAATATATGTTTATATATTTGTACTAAAAATTTACCAGTTATACTTTTTTCTAAAACCAAATTTCTATTTAATAATTATCATGATGAAATTCATCAAAATTGTATACTTTATGATAAAAGTAAAAGGATAGCTAGAAAGTGTAAAAACTAAACTATAAAGTATAACTGTTCTATGCATATTAACTACTTTAAGCCATAATTTTAAGTATTTTGGAAAATAATGAAAGTGTTACACTGTACAATAATCTTTTATTGAGCCTTATTCATTTTTATTATTAATAGATTGATTTCAAGCAATTCATTTAACTTCAAACTAGACTTGATATGACCGATTTTTAACATTAACATAATTATAATTATCATAAGAAATATGCTTAAAAAATTGTCTTCATCCCTGGTACTCTGTGATGGTATTGGAACCCATGACTTTTCACAAACGCGCAATATCAGAGTACCAGGAACAAAGTGGATCTTATAAGAATTTTTTATTAAGAATATTTTCAATAGGTATAGCAATGTGAGTACGAAAGTGATCAAACATAATCATTATTATAATCAATAAGGTGGTGCCAGGAGAGACCGCCCTAGCATTCTACACAGCTCGCAACCCCACAAATAAGCCTGTCACAGGTATCAGCACATATAATGTGATACCATTTGAAGCAGGTCAATACTTCAACAAGATACAGTGCTTCTGTTTTGAGGAACAACAACTCAACCCACATGAACAGGTAAATTTCAATATTTATATTTACTGTTGAAAGACTACTAGATCCAAACAACATTGAATTGTCAATATTAAGTTGTAATCAGTAAGCCGATTCCAAATATATCTTGGAACAATTAAATTATTCCTTAATTAACATGTTAAATTCGTTTAACGTGTTGTTTTTGGTAAATCCATGTATACAGATAGAATTGGTATTTCAAACTTGTTTGGTTGAATGAATGTATTTAAATTGTGTAATGGTCTCCTATGTGAAGTTGTCAGTATTGTGGTGACGCAAAGTGCCATTAAAGTTAAGTTAAGAAAAAGAACCTTTCAGCAGGCCATAATTGAAAAACATAAATAAGAATTGAAATTGCAAATATTGTAATTATTACATCTGGCTCTCATTAAATGTAAATAAATTAAAAAGGGAATGGTACACTCAGACAATAATGTGATCTACCAGTTTTGACAAAAGTTTCTGTGAGATTAATTATTTTTAAGGTTGATTTCCCTAATATAATGTATAAGCTCAATTATGATCTATGATCCATTATCAGCAGGGCGATTCTGTAAAAATACGAAACTGAATTCGAATTCAGTCATGTGTCTGAATTCACGTCATTTAGTGAAGAAATTATATTGATTCCATTTTTGTATTAAAACACAAAAGCAAATTGATTGATTATACATGCCTCAGATATTCTATTCCCATGTCATTTCAAAACTAACTTCACTTATGCCAAAAAACGTTATTATCAATTCAAGATTGAGCGGATGCCGCTTTTTGAAGTGCATTCGCATACCTGAGTGAATTCGAATTGGGGTTTGAATTTTTACAGAATTCTCGGAGCTGAGATGGATATCTCACATTCGAATTGAGTCTTTTTGTTAATTAATTGTTTCACAACTGTAGAATACGCCGATCGATCCCATCGTCGTCGTCGCCAGTGTAGAATAATTTGGTTGATGCCGAAATACAAAACAGCCCACAACACATTTGTATGTTCATCACAATGACAGAAACACAGCCGCGCGTCTACAGCAATTTCTAAGTACTTATCAATAGACTATACGTAGTGGCAGATCATATTGTTGGTTGACTGTACAGCGATTGTTCCTTAAGACTGAGGTGGCTGCAGGTTCCCAACCCCAGGTTTTTTTAATTTCTTTGGCCAATCGTAAAATTGGGCTGATTAGAACTATCGAGGCATATCACGATCCGCCGCCATTTTGTGATATTAATGATAATAGCGTATTTATTGATTTTAGCTGAACACTTGTATAGGCATACCTAAAGGCACATCGTTACATGAGGAATTATTCAAAAAAGAAAGCACTAAAAGCCACGAAGTGTTGGAATAACATTCCTCCACCTTGTAAACAGTTTCGTGCATTCAAAACATTTAAAAGCAAATTAAAAAAACATCTTCTTGATTTAGAGAGGCCGATTTGAGTATTGTATTGTGTAATTTATATACAAACCTATAATTTAAATTGCATTTCCTATCATATTGTCTGTTATGCATGGTTTATATAATACTGATTTGCGTATCTATTTAAATGTTTAGGTAGAGTATATAACATGGATATTTATGTATGGTGCATAGTAGTGCGTTGTCCTCATCTGGTGTCCACGGAAGATCAGCGTCGAGGTATCTTAAAGACATCTCGGCACTATGCCGAATGGATACCTTTTTAAGGCCACGATGTGTCTTTATTTATTCATTCATTTTGTTCAATTCAATTTGTACATTTACTGGTTGCTAAATAAATGAATTATTATTATTATTAAAAAAGCACCTCACTAGATGGCGACTCTAGCAAAAGTTGATTTTTGCAGGAAACGAATGGACCAAAGATAGTCACTTCAGTTCCTTTTAACTAACATATTAAAAAACAGAAATTTGCAAAGTTCGAAACTTAGATATCAATACAAATACGAAAAAGTACAAATAGAATATGAGTTGTTTATTTAGTTTTGAAAATTAATTTACTTTTATACATGAAAGAAAACCGGAAGGGCTGTCATGGAGAAATCAAGAAAGTACCGTAGCAACATCTAGTTTGAGATCGGGCTTTTTTTTATACTTCACTTAATTTAATTAATACTCAAAAACTTTATAACAAACCATAGTGAGACCATTTTTTTAAATAGTCTATTTGGAAAATGGTCTGTTCAAATTGCATTGCCCTATTGGCATTCAAAAAAATTATAGTCGCCCTACAACTGATCTGTCCAAGTCTCAGACCAGTCCAGATACGTCGGGCAAGTTTTGTGATAAGTGTAAGATAAGTAAGATCGAAAAATGGCGACGGGTTGTGATTTGTCCAATTTTAAGGATTGACATTCGACATATTGTATCTGAAATATAACCCAAATAAATAATATCAAACACTTCACATGCCTCGACCGCAACATATTTAAGCTATGACATTATCAGTATGAAAGCACTTTACATATTTTCAGGTGGACATGCCGGTGTTCTTCTATATTGATCCTGAATTCACAGAGGATCCAAAGATGGAATTTGTGGATGAAATTATACTTTCATACACATTCTTTGAGGCTAAGGAGGGCATGAAACTACCTGTACCTTCTTATGTGAAATAATATTTCGATTGTGGTGTATTTAGAAACCAGAACAATTTATTAGTGTAATTATAGACATGGTATTTTGTTAAGTTTTAAATTTAAATATAATGTTATTTAATTGATGCCTATCTCGTTATTTATTTGATGTGTTTAAAAGAGTTGGCTTAATTGATTCATTGAACTTTGCCACACATTCTTCTAAGTAGTTTCACTCTTGACAAGAGCCGGTGAGCTGGTGACACACCGGGCGCAGGCGACGACGCGGGAAAATTAGCCCGCTCTCATTTCAGTTTGTATCTATTTAATTTAATTTAATTGTTTGTTTCGAACAACAATTCGAAACTACTGGACCGATTTCAAAATATGCGGTGAACATAGACTATATTTTATCTCGAAAAACAGCAAAAGGGATGAACATGAGAGTGGAAGTTTGTAGTATAGGAAATTAAAACGTTACCATAGTAACGATTGATTACTATTCATTGTCATTGTAATTATATCCGTGTCACGGTATGATTTGTGTAAGTCCCTTACAAGTAGGTAAAATTTAACTACAAGAAAGTTCAAAATTTAACTTTGACTTTCACTACCAACATATAAAAAGCAGTGTTTATAAAATACTTATACGGATTCTGACGAAATCCACAATTATTATTAATAATTACAGAGAAGAAGAAGAAGATATGTATGAATCGATATTCAAATAAACGCTGGCAGAAAGCTAGTGTTTAATGAGTTCCCAAGTATAAAATATTTATATCTAATTACTATATTAATAACTATATTAAGGGCTGGTGGTGGTGGTGAACTATATTAATATACTATATCTAATTTATTTTAATTTAATAACTTCTGTTAGAGCTGGAGTTCCTCTAGCTCATCCTTCCCATCAGTCAAAGTGAATGAATTAATCCCTCAATAAATAAATTTTAATACGTACAGAACAGATCGACTTTCGACTTGGAAGCAGGGGAAATGAAATGAAAGCGGTATATAGGTGGTGATGCGTATATTGCGCGGTCAGGCCTTGATGGCGGCGGTGACCGGGTAGCCGCGGCGCAGGCCCATGCACTGGTCGCGGTCGATGAACAGCGTCGTGGTCTTGTTGCGCAGGTCCGCCTCCAGCCCCGCGCGCACGCCCAGCAGCGTCTGGTGCGTGCCCTCCGCCGTCGCGATGCGCCCGCGCAACGTCTCCATCGTCTCTTGCAGGTCGCACACCTCCTTCACCAGTCTGTGGCGAGCGAACCGACATGTTAACCTGCCGCAGATCTACTCGGAAACGACCGAGGAACACGCAAACCTAAAAGTCGCCCGGAAATCGCACCCGGAAACCACAAAAAGATTTATTCTGCTGCGAAATCCGCATATAGCCTTCGCTCCATCAGTAAAAGATGTTCTAAACTAGATGATTTCATAACGGAAATGAGAGGTTCAAAAATCGACTATCGATAGTGCATTATCCGCCCATCTGTCGCACCTTCACCGATCAGATTTAAAATTGACTTCGACGCTACGTTTCCGTAGCTCCATGGACGTTTAAAATCATCGAATACATGAAAATTATGAGATGACGGTACCTGTTCTGCGCCTCGTCGCGGCACTTCTCCAGGTGCGGGCGGTTGGTGCGCGCCTGCAGCCGCGTGTGCGCCACCTTCATGGGCTGCAGCTTGTCCTCGATGGCCTTGTTCAGCAGCTCCAGCGTCTTCTCCACGTCGAAGATCTCCTGCTGGATCTGTCGAATGACCATCACTGTTTTACAAATCTACAACTGTAATAATAACTTAATAACACCTCCAGACTTAAGTTTGGCATCAAATTATCTTTTCTACAGAAGGAAAGACAGCATCATCATCCGCTGACTTCACGTCAAGATGTCGATGATATTTTATTTATGGTTCTGGAAGTCGGTTACCTTGTGTAGATGCAGCTGCAGTTTGTTCTTGATCTCGATGGTCTCGGCGACGCGGCGCGTGAACGCGCTGTTGGTGTTGCTCCACTGGTCCCAGATCTGCGTCGCTGATACGTTTATAAGGTTCTCTGTGTCTGTACGCAACAGATAAAATTAACGTCACGTATACTTCACAGTCGTGGAAAGAAATTAAGAAAATAGGCTTTGCTCGGGTTTGTAATCTCCCGAACTGTATTGACTCTTATCATCAGCTTATTAAGCTCCAGTCGCTCATGGTTTGGATACCTGCGGAAATGTTACGAATATGTGTTGCTTGTTAATATCCGTAAGCTAGAGAAAGGCAAAAGACTGGCCATCAGTTAGTGTGAACATGGAGCGAGTAATGTACCGGAGAGCATTTGCACGGCCTTGGCGCGTTCAGACTGCGAGCGCTGCAGCGTGGCGGCGGAGGCGGCAGCCCAGCGCGCCGTGTCGCACACCGTCGGGTCGTAGCGCTCGATGCCCGCGTAAAATTGTAGACCCTACGCAATTCAAATAAGTCTCCTCTAACGATTTAAGTTAAGGCGCAATTGTTTCAAATTACTACTTTTTAGACAAATCTATTATAAATAGCTTTATAGCGCCAATATTTGCCATATAAAAATCATTTTAATAATGGCAATAATCGGTTCGATAAAAAATAGAATCAAATTTTAAAAATTTATAAACCATACTTAGATTTGTAGTAGGTCCTATTCTTTGAAAAATGTTATTATTTCAGTGATACTTATATATGTGCTTTATATAAATATGTTGTATAGATACCACTAAACTATTAAATATCTATAAAATAAATTATATTTACAACGAAAGGCCTGAATTTTTTATTTATTTGTCTACTTGCATTGTTCACGACTATCTGCTGAATATATAAATAGCTATTATATTTGAGCAATTTCGCATTCCCAATGCTATACTTAAAAATATTCTTAATGAAAAATGCAAAATAAATCCACTTGGTTCCTGCAACTCTGAGATGGGGTGCGAACCCATGACCTTTCGCAATCCGGGCGACTGTTCTAAAGAGTGAGCTACCCAGGACACGCTGATAAATGCGTTACGCATACCCGCTTCACCCTGCGCGGGCTCCATGGGTGGGACTCCTCCTGTGGCCCTACCCCCGAAGGGGCTAGACAAGAAACAGGAGTTTACCCACTAAAACTCAGCGATGTCCCTCGCATGGAAGGCGATGCGCGGCATCGGCCCGGAGGCCATACACCGCGCAGTTCGCCCCCATTTCGGAACGCCCTGAGAAGGGCAGGTCCCTCTGCGGGTTGAAGGTACGTCTCAGAGACATTCGAGACGCACCCCCACGACGAGGCAGAAGCGTGCAATGTCGACCAGCGCGCAAACCGGCCAGCTGCCCCTGACTAGAGACCAGAGATGCGCAACTGTGCAATCTCTAGTCCCCTACCCATCGTGTTGGGAGGATCCACACAGGCATAGCCCTTATCTTGGGTCCCCCCCCTCCCGAGCTACCCAGGACTGACGAATTTTTAAGCACTTGTTACTTTTTTCGCTACTACAGAGCGTATTCTCATCTATGTTCAGGCAATCCACCCAAACAGCCGAAATAAATATTTTTACAAATATTTACACTTTCGGTAAAGATGAAAAGTTGTTCTAATTATTATATTTGATCAATTAGTACCTACTCGTTTTAAACATATAAATCTTATGTTTTTTCGCTGATATAAATATGACAACATATTTAGGTGATATCTGAGGAAACGCGTATTTTATTTTGTTATAAAAAGAAAACTACTAATTCAATTTCGATAAAATTTAAATTGCCCCATCGAAGTCGAGTTTAAACGAATATCTAACTAATGGACACAAAAAATCAGGCCACTTCTATTTTCTTTTGTTATGGATTTATTATCTTCAATTAAAATTTTTATTGTGTCGCTACTTATAGCATTATTTAATCCAAAAATTAACAAATAATAAAAAAGAACATAGTGATGAATCTCGGCTTGGTAGATAACCTAATTTTATTGTCCACTGGTATATTTAGAATGCGTGAAACCCACATGTGTGTTATGGTAAACTGGTCCTTCGAGCCGGACACTGTATAAGCAAATAGACAAGGTTACTAACTTTGGAGAAGTTGTTAAGCTGGTGGCACATGGAGTCTATACCCAGTGCATACTCCTTGTTTCGCATGTCGGTCTCCAGCTCATGCTGTGTTGCTCGGCAATTCTTCGATTGTGCTCGCACCTGTTACGGATATGATTTATATTTCGACAATATTTTCCTTTTAAACCGTACGATACCTATTGTGTATGAATAAATATTTTTTTTATTAAGGTTACCTTTTCCAACATATTTCTAAATTTATCCTGGCATTCGCGCAGAATAGCGACTTCTTTTAACAAAGATTGCTCTACCGAATCATGCACTTGCTCCAAACCTGAAAAGTCAGTAGAAAATAGAAATGTCACGGGTCTAGGTTTGCCAGCTATAATTCTGTTATTAATTTTGAATAACAACCGCCATTTACATAAGTACATCTTTACTAGTTAGGGGAGACCGAGGAGAGTTGAAACAATTTTGACATTTTATTTCATACATCAAATACTATACACAGAAATCGTATGATATTAGTACCAATCGAAAGGTAATTATTTACACCTGCGAATGACTAACGTAAAGTAGTTGTAAACGTTAAATATTGGGGTAGAAATCGACTTAACCGTAACAAGTCAATTTGTTTCAACTCTCCTCATACCGAGGTAAGATGAAACAGGGAACGAGGAGAGTTGAAACATATGATTTTTGAGAAGCATTAAGGGATGTAAAATAAAAAAGATGATATAATTTCAAGGTATTTATTCAAATAAAACTTTTTTAGTATGTAATAACTTCTTATATAAGGATTTTGTACTGATATTTCAGTCAAGTATGTAACTACAGGTCTCATAAATATATTTAACTCTTAAATGAGTTAATTACATCTTCAACTTAAATAAAAAGGATCTTCCTCAATCTTTAACATACAATAGTTATTAATTTTCAGTAATTTCTTAAGTATTACAATGATGCGGTCTGGTTTTTGAACTGTTGTGATACCTGATTCATCAACTTTCCATATATCCTTCCCTTGTAACCCTGTAGTATAATTTTGGAAAAACAGTTGTTCATTTGATCTGCTAAACTTGTGGTTCGAGCAATAGTTGTAGGTTGAGGTAGTCTAAGTGAAAGAACAGGATGCCGTTTCATAAATGATCGAAGCCAAACCTTTCCAGCCATTTCATGAGCAGTCCGAGCAGAAGGGATTTTTTTTTATTATATTTTTTATATATTATATTTACAGCCAATTTATAGGCAAAAGTTCTGGCTTCTTTAGTTCTTAGGCGAAAGTTAACAGCAGCGCAGATTAAAAGATTGCCTTCTCCTCTGAAGCTGTAAAAACAGTCTTTTCAGGATATCCAACTTTAAGAGCAGTTGCCGTTTCGTTGCCTTCATAAGCATTTTTTTTTTTAATATACCTGCAGAGAGATGTATGGTTCAGATTATAACTCGAAACCGCGTCACGGAGACTTTTCTGGCGCAAAATTACTTCTTCTGCTGCGAGATCATATATTTCGCGACTTGCCATACCCCTGTCAGTCTTTCTCTTATAATAAGTTGGCATTCTAAAACAAAATAAATAAATTAAGTTATCATAGACATTAATTAGGAGCGTTACTACCCGTCACGCTGTGTGCAACATTCGTGAAATGTATGCTGTGGGCATTTGTCTGCTTTGCAGCCATTTTCCAATATCTCATGTTATCTATGTAGAGGAGACCGAGGAGAGTTGAAACAGTCTGTTTCAAATCTCCTCGGTAGAAATAAAACCTCTCATTTTTATTTAATCTACAATGAAGAAGCAAATACATAGAAATCAACTGTACCAAACATATACAATGAATCTTTAGTTAAAGAGCTTTCGAAACACATATAACTTAAATCAAAATACAAAACCTATATAAAAATATAAACATCATAACAAAGCCTAAAAAACTTACTTTTCACGATTTTTGACATACGGCTGACAGAACTCCACAACCGCGCGAGGCACACCTCCGACGTGAGCTCCCACCACGACGGGCGGAGAAAAATAGTTATAAGGCGAAGTTGCTAACCCGCTAACGGTTTTAAGTTCCGAGAAATTGGTACTGTTTCAACTCACCTTTGTTTCAAATCTCCTCGGTCTCCCCTACTTAATGATACATTCTGTTTTTAATGTTGGGAACTTTAGTTTAGGAGGACACTGGTCACCTTGTCTCTTCTCCCTGTGATACAGACACTCTTGAACGATATGCAGTGGTCCTTCGATACCAGCGATCGCTCTCTCCAATTGCCGACGAGTGTCATTTAATTTTTCACAAGTGGCTACTAAACGCTCCATCTCTATTGCCACCTTCACAGAACAACATTACGTACAAAAGAAAATATGGACAAAACAATACTGATATATAAAGGTAATCAAAGTTGTTTCTAAGTTTACTTTCAATAATTTCGACTTTTACCTCATTCCGCCAAAATGTTGTGTCGGTTATACGCTCCCCAATCCTCCTGCCTGAATCTCTTTGTCCTTGAGTGCCAATTTCATCAGTTTCCCTAGAAAATCGAAAAGTGTAGTAAGCACCTATTATATGAAGATCTATTTTGAAAATTAAACATTAATTGAAAGAAACGAGAAAATATAAATACCTCAACATCCTCATGATATCATTCCTAACTCGTTCTGAGAAATTTCTCTTTGCATCTGACTCATTGTAATTCTTGATGCTGTTCTGATTCCATTCGTACTGAGTGTAGCGGGTGTAGAGAGCAGCTCGGGCGGCGTGCTCGGGGCTTCTATCAAATCCTGTTACCAGATTGGGGAACCTCAGAGGCTCTGCCGCCATTCCGGCCGGGGTATAGCAAGGATCAACCATAGTATTCGTTATGGGTTGAGATGGCCTGAAAATGTTAGACGAAGAGGTTATAGCTCTAGTCAGTGCATGTCTGATGAAAAATGCGTCGCGTCTCGTCGGTTGCGGAAATGATATTCAACCTTGTACACTCGACTTATGATCCGTCGCGTATTAACGTATATTATACATCATAGGTGCTCGATAGACGCTTGACAGATATTCCGTCAGATTTGTACTGACCCCTATTAATGTAGCTGTTTATAAATTTATTTAAAAACATTCAACGATTGAGATACAAAATTAATGGGATTAGAATCGTTGAGAATGGAATTGTCACCATGATTCGCTTTTTATTATTTTCGCATTAACCACTAACCTAAATTGACAGCATATAAAATACAAATATTTTGTAAGCAAAGAAAATATACAAAAAAACATGCTGCCTTCTATTTAGATACATTCTGATGGGTCATTATCGAAGCCCAAATATTCAAAACTTTTTTTGAAGTGCGAAAACCCGAAATCTCACTTTCTTGAGTGGCCAACATAAGAATTTAATCTTTGCTCACATAGGTGTGACTTCGATTTCTTCGTAGCCCATGATCGGTCTCCAGGGATGCTTCTTTGGCGAGTGGAAGCAGTACCCCACCTGAGGCGGCACGCTCGGTGCACCTGCTGTTTCTCTTACGGGACTCCATTGCTGTAATTGCTATAGCAAACAAGTTAAAAAAAAAATGATTTATCGTCATATTCAACCTATTGATGTTAGAATTTTAATGGCATATTGAACTTCCTTAAAATTGAGATATTAAGCACCCCGCCAATTCATGTCTTATTTTTCCTTAGAAGGGGGAGGAGGAAGTCAGTTTTACATTAGATCCTAAAAAAATATAAAAAAGTCAGTAGTTATATAGCTACAAGAATATCAAGGAAAATATGAATTTAAACACAACTTCTTTATTAAATTTTTCTTATAATTCTTACGTACCTACGTAACGTTTATTAAACATAGGGTGAGGGCAGAATATTATTACTTCTTACATAGACTGGCGATGGAGTCAAGAACTGGCAAAAACAGACATAAACTCAACGCGGATTTAAATATCAGTAGTCAAATAGTAGGTACAACGAATATCAGTAGCGCATGCAATCGGGTCCAAATCAAATCAACGGCTTGATGTGCCTTTTGACACACAAAAGAGTGCGAGATAATATTTGGTCTCCCAACTGATGAACAGCTATTCGCTAAAGTTACATAATCTGCACACACGCAGATTGTAACAAAATTACTTTTGAATTAACACATTAAAGACTATGTGTTACCGATGTGTTTTTAATGTCAAAAAATATAAAATTGGGCCACTTGGGGGGAAGGAGTAAAAGGGTTCAACATCAAGTTTCTGACCCGATTTGGAAAAATCGTAGATCCGAGACTGGATAGGTTTTATTAATTTGTTACATATTTTCTACTTTATGAATAGCCCCTTTTTTGTTCATACAAAGTCTGATCGAATAGTGATTCTTTACGAAAAATAACAATTACCGTGCACATCGAAACTTCCTTTGCCATTTTGTCTCTGTTTAAGACAGTATACTGATATTATTAAAATTTAAAAAACTAATTAAAAAATATCCTAAAAAATACAGCTACATTTAGATTGTCACAATGACAATTAATTAAAAATAAAACTTTTGCGCTGTTTAGTACCTTTAAGGTTTTAACCATATATTTAACCGTTTATTGTATATTTAATGATGAAAAAACCTTGCTGAGGAAAAGAAGAGCTGACATTTTTAAAGTATTTACCTCAAAAATGCTAAGCAACTTTATCATCAGCTCTTTTTCGTGCATGGGCAATTAATAAAACTATTAAACACTAACAACATAAATTACAATTATTTTTATACTTGGTGTAGGTATCGGGCAATAAAACGAAATAGAAAAGATTCAAGGGTTTATTATATATTTATTCATAGATACGTTGCACCAGCTCACTGTTATTTAACCTATCGCCATGCAAGATTTTAAATTTACAAAAATTATCAATAGAAATATTTTGTCCAGAAGTATTTACAGATGGCTGACTAAAAACTTGTCAATTTTGGGCAACTTTTGTTTACTTTCTTTTCTTTCTTGGCGTTGTTTGCGTTTAAATGCACCACTGGGTTTCTTTTTTTGTCCATAATATTAGTTTTTCTAATTTATTTATGTAAGATTGTACTCAAGTAGGTACTCACTGTTCACTGACAACGTTACAAGTAAAAGGACAGCGAAACGTAATGATACGATACAAGACGTCCTTGGGGAATTCCCGGCAAACATTTTATCGCCGCCAGTATAACTATATTAGACGGTTTAAAAAATTACAAAATAACATCACGTAATTAATGGACAACCCCCTACCCCATGTGATTTGTATTTTTCACGGTATTTTGAGTTATATAGTGTGTAGCCGAAATCTATAGATTTCTTTACGTAACTATGTATACGTACTATAATCAAATAAAATTGAACTTTTTATGGACCAGTACAAAAAAAAATATTGACATACGCTTACTTACTCCTGATACCTACATTAACTTTTTAACCATTCTCGAAAAAAAACTTGACTCGAAGTTCACAATAGCGAATCAAAAAAACGCATATCGATAAATAATAATATGCAGATATTGATATCCAACAAATTGATGAAAACATTTATAACACTGTCAACCCACACAAATAATTTAGAGGAATTCCCTTTTTATAACTTTGAAATTTCTCACAACTGAGTTGCCATGATTGAACTCGAGTAGTCACTTGTCATATTTATTTTGAAAATGGGAGAAATTTTCACAAGTTGAGTTCGATTGAGATTTTCTGGTAAAGATTCGGGGGCCCCCTGAGCTTGAGGGCCCCGGGGCACTGCCCCGCCTAGCCCCTTGGTAGCTACGCCACTGGTTTTAACCCAAAATTATTACCAAGATAGCCACTAAATTAAAAAAAAATGTGTTCGGACGTAACACGAAACGTTTCTTGTGCCTGCCATATTATACCAAAAAAAAAGGAACGTTTCTTTCCACTTGTCATTCATCTGTCAATTTTAATTTGTATTAGACTAGAGATCGATTTTCAATATTTATCGAAACTTAACATCTATGTTGGATAATACATAGAACAAACTATATCCAATAGTTTTTTAACACCTCGTTAAAAGAAAATTAATTTTGTCAAAGGAGAACTTTTTAATCTATTTCTTCTTTATTTTTTGGTAATATCGATTATTTGCAATTATTATTAATATTACCATTATATAAAGCATGGCTTTTGCGTGAGGGCGTGAGTTAACATCGATGATTGATTTCGTTAACAGTATCAACAATATCGATTTCTTTCTTTCAATAGCGATGATCTTCACACATTGATGTTCATGGAACATCCCTAATTTTGACATTAGTTAGTGGAAATTTAGGTGTTGAAGAAGTGTTTGTTTCACTGAGAAAATATAAAAAAAATAATATAAATACCTATTTGCTATCGTTAAATATGAGCAGTGTTCCCGAGAATGCTCCCCAGCGTAAGTATTAATAATTTCACCGTTCTTGTATCAACATTTTCTTGCCCACACGATTGGGGACTAAGTTTTGTTTACAAAAAAATAATTACAAAACCCGACAGATTGCCCTGGTACTGGCAGTGAAAATGCTGGAAAAGCATCCGCATGTGCCGGCTGCCCGAACCAGAATATCTGTGCTTCTGGTAAGTAATGTTAAGTTTAACTTAATCCTTTTCTTATAATCAGATAGGGCTATGTATCTTATTATAGGTTATTGTGTATTTAAGTTAGACATTACTCTCAAATCAAAACCAAAAAGTATTTCTTATTAAAAAGAAAAGAAAATCTTAAGAAAACTATTATGCAATTGAAAAAAAAATTGTGGTACAACATGTATTATTTATCATATTTCTCTAACCTTGTAAACCCATAAATAAGGTATTTTATAGTTTTTGACCATAGAGCAAGAATTAGTAAGTGAACATGTTCATATTATATATTTTGTGCATTGATCTTTAATTCTAGGCACACCCAACATGCCTGACCCTGCTATAGAAATCATTAAGAATAGGTTGTCGAATGTAAAACATAAGATATTAATTTTATCGGGCAAAGGAGGTGTTGGCAAAAGTACAGTCACATCATTATTGGGGCATGCATTAGCTGCTCGGAACCCTGATATAAATGTGAGTATGTTTCATTTTCTTAAATATTTCTTTACTATCAATAGATTTTTTTTTATAATTAATATACATAGGTCATAAAACACTAGCATGGATATATTTGGATATATAGATTTGGATGTTAACATTTTCTATAAATTTTTATTTATTTTAACTTCATTGCACACAAGATAATACAAATTGTAGTTTATAGGCTAGCTGGAATACTAGATTTACATATATGGATATAATTAGATAACATATGTATTATTATAAAACAAAAACTAAAAGTTAGTAATTGTCTTAAACCAATGGCCGCCAAATAAGCAAACAACGAAAAATAGAAGAGAAGATAAAATAACATATTGGGATAGTGGTTTAAACCTATACATGGTATGGTTAAAGGTCAGCAAAAAAGTCCTTGTTTTGATTCCCTCCCATTCAGAAATAATGCCTAATCAAATAGGTTATTTGAATACAATTAGTCTGATAACATATGGCTTCACTCAATTGGTTGGACATTTATTTTATGTGATTCTCTCCCTAAAAGCTAATGGTTTTAGATAAAGTTATGTGATAATATGAATTCACTCTTTATTACTTAGTAAACACATAATAAATGTATCCAATAGGTTGTTCTAAATATGTATGCAGGCATTAGTTTACTATAAACACTGTTTTTATACATTTTCTTATTTTTAAACACTTTAATACAATTATAAAGCAGCATAATAAAACCTACCCTGTTATATCTTGACCTTCTCTCGTACGTGTTACCAAACTCCATTATCACAACGACAATTATTTGAATAACTAAATAGAAACGGTAATAAACAAATTAAATCTGCGTGTATCGATTCCGGCGTTCGGATTAAGACAAAATTTGCAAGTTGTCCGCGAGCGCGCCGGGCCCGGCACCAGGTGACACCGCGCCGGCCTCGCGCAGATATAGGTCGGGCGGTGTGTCGAAATACAAACACGATAAACTGTTCACTGATGAGGAAGCACGCAAGTTAGTCCCTGTCCAGAATTACGCGCCTTTCATTATACATAACTCGTTCGTAAGGAATTGGATGACAAACAGATACCACGTTTGTAGCAATGAACCTGAATTCGCCCCCTTCTGTATTGAATGCTAGTATAGTTATGGAAAGGTCTACTATGCTAACACCTACCTCTAAGAATAAAGTTTACATCAACATTATTACCGTGTCTAATTAAATTACAGGAAAATATTATTCCGTAAAATACAGACACTACGTAAATATGTACCACCAAATTTATTACTTGACATTCGGAAAAAAGTAACATTTATTGATTTCTTCTATCTTCACGCGCACTATCCATGAATGAAACAACTTTTCGGATCCTTTACAGGTTCAGAGTTCACTTAAGGCTAAAAGCAGTGTGTGAACATGCGTTAAGAGAACCTAAGCATTACATAAGATTTCACAATCCAAAAATTCTTGCGTCTGAACAAAGATTCATTCCTAGAATGATACGCGAGGCTTTTGAAATTAAAAAACATCCGAACTTTAATAGAGATGGAGGTTGGCGTATACCACCGGCTTGGGATCCAGTAATTAGTCAAATAAAATCTCAATCCAGATCACACATTGCAAAACAACCATATACAGTTTGTTTATACTGCAAACAAATTTGGAACTGGTGGTAGATTACGGTAGCCAGGGGTAAATAAATAAGTGAAATTTATTTAAAAAATAATAAAATAAAATAAATGTAAACGTTTCCATGAAGTATAAAAATTATTGTACTGTGAATGTTTCCAATAGTATTGTTTTGAAGGTAACTATACTCTTAATTAAAAAGACAATCAACACCTTAATCTTATGATACCCTATGTAGTTTGTGGTCTTAAATAAATTTACGCTGAGACTGCACTTAGTATTTTAGTGTGCGCGGAAATGCTAGTCACCGCCTGAGGTATGCGGGCGGTGGCTAGATGACGGGGGAGAGCGCGATTGACAAGACGCATGAGATATTAAAGGACAGATAGATAAATCTCAAGATAACATGTTCGAATTTATCTTAATCAATGTAATGGCGGTATTTATAATGTAATATTTCTCTATTTCCTAGTTAAACAAAAATAAATTCATATTTCAAAGTGTTTATTAAATTTTTTTATTAACGATACAGTAAAAATCTAAGAAGAAGACATGTTTTCCATTTGCAAATTTAAGTTTTAACTCGTCTATCACATTGCCAAACCTCATGTCGTGGTTCCAATATTTATTCTCAATATTTTGTACGTGGTCATCACACTTTTGCCATTTTTTCAGAAAACAATCTTGTTATGATTGGAATGTTATCATCCAATGATGAATTTATGTAATTCGAAGCTAAATTCGTCTTTATAACGGCCCACGTTAGCTCAATGGGGTTGAGATCGCAATGATACTGCGGAAGGCGAAAGACGATATGACAGGCAGCCTTTAAAATTTCGTCAGTGGGGAAATTTTTTTCGGACTGAGTTCTTTTTATTATTCTCGTTCTCGCGAAATCTCGGCCCTTTTTAGCGAGATTGATCTCGGTCGAAAAATTGGCGAGATCTCGCGAGTTTATCGAGATTGCGCTCGAGCATAAAAAAGGTTAATTCTAAGTGCGACAGCGTGTATTTATGCGACTCCGGGGGTTAAAAGACGAAGTTTAGGTGACTAAGCTTTACTCGGCACTTTTATAATTAAATTGTCAAGTTTGTAGGACCTGACATGCTGTTGACTACTTTGGACTTCTCGTTGATATCAAAGAATTCTATGTACTTCGGTAGATGTACTTACGTACTATATGCGGACACCGATTCATTGTTGACAAAGCCGATGTTAAGCCGTTTAGCCGATTTTATAATAAATAGAATAGTTAACAGGAAAATTAATAATGAGTCTACCACACTGCTGATATAACGTTTGTTATTGGCTGTAGGTGGGTATCCTAGACGCGGACATCTGCGGGCCAAGTCAGCCGCGCGTGCTGGGAGTGCACGGGGAACAAGTGCACAACTCAGGGTCGGGATGGTCGCCAGTGGTACGTTTTTATTAAGTTTTTATAAAGAATAATTAATTATCATTCATATTATCAAGCTGACTTCAAGTTAAAGCAATCGTTTACGGATAAGTAAGCTCAAGTGATAGCATATAATTTGTATTCTTCTACATTTAAATTGTAATAATAAAATTAATTTAGATAGGAAATAATTATTTTCAAATTTGTCTGATGTTTATTTCAATCGTTGTTATTAATGAATTATTTTAGATATAAATACCATTGAGCAAGATTTGAATTGTGTTTTGATTAATATTGCATTTCGCAGTACATAAAGGACAACCTTTCCCTGATGTCCATCGGATTCTTGCTCGGAAGTCCCGACGATGCTGTCATATGGAGGGGTCCTAAGAAAAACGGTAAGTGCGTTTTTCGTATTGAAGGCCACATGAACCACGCCTCTAGTGTTAACGGTGATTCGTTTTACAGGAATGATCAAGCAGTTCTTGAGCGAAGTGGACTGGGGCGAGTTGGACTACCTGTTGATCGACACGCCGCCCGGTCAGTCACACTCTGTATTAACTATGTCGCAGCTGAACGGTCGATATAACGTTTTAATTACACGTGTTCTTACTCTCTTTAGTTCTGACGTTTTGTTCGGATACTAGTATCGTCAGGGACTAATAATTATACACAAATAATATTATACACGTTCTATATGGTGAATCGTGATGTCAGTTTACATCTCGCTCGTCTCTGATGGAGGGTTGCACCGTACTCTATATTACGAAGGCGTATTCTGTAATCTATAACACCAATAGAGGACACTTATATACTTTTTGTCAGTGACATAAATATGGCGCATAGCCATTATTAATGTAAACGTAAAAAAAATGCCAAACTAGAAAAATATGTCTTTTTAATAATGTCGGATAAAGGATACTCATTTATAGAAGTTCGTACATTTTATTTACCTCCTGTACCGTCCCTGGCTGCAGGCACTTCGGACGAACACCTGTCGTGCGTGCAGTACCTGCGCGGGGGCGGGGGCGGGGGCGCGCGAGGGGGCGGGGGCGGGGGGGGGCGGGGGCGCGCGCGCGCTGCTCGTCACCACGCCGCAGGAGGCCGCGCTGCTCGACGTGCGCAAGGAGATCGCGTTCTGCCGCAAAGTGGACCTGCCCATCCTCGGGGTCGTCGAGAACATGACGCTCTTCGTCTGCCCCAATTGCAAGGTCATTTGCGTTACTTGGAAGTGTCGCTACTGCTCGTGCAAATAAATAGAAGGGACACTAAATTCTGAATGTGATTCGCTCTATTCGTGCGGTAGACTCGCAGCGAGATATTCCCGGCGTCGACGGGCGGCGCGGGCCAGATGTGCGTCGAGTTGGCGGCGCCGCTGCTGGGCCGCCTGCCGCTGGACCCCACGCTGGCGCGCTGCTGCGACAACGGACTCGACCTGTTCGAGGAGCTGCCCGACAACCCCACAGTGCTGGCGGCCCGACAGATCGTCGACGGTAAGCTAATAGCGGCTATCGGCTGCTTCACGGTTGAAAAAATTAATTTACTTTACCATCGGAAATGGTTACTTATATGTGAACGAGTATTTTTTGGTTATCTGTGAATAACGAAACGCAGGCGGCCATGACGAGTGTGACGTCACATTGTAATCAAATAATCTTCGACATCTTCGTTACGAGAGCACCCGGTGGTCTTTTTTATTTTTATATGATGACGTCCCGGCTCGAAATGTCACCTTTTGATTTATATAATCCAATAAAAACATGTTTTTAATGAAAAATGCTAAACAAATCCACTTGGTCCCTGGCACCCTTTTTTTTTTTTGACGCTGAGAAATGCGTTACGCATACCCGTTTCACCCTGCGCGGGCTCCACGGGTTATGTGGGACTCCTTCTGTGGCTCCACCCCCGAAGAGGCTAGACAAGAAACAGAAGTTTACCCACTAAAACTCAGCGATGTCCCTCTCATGGTGGGCGAGGCGCGGGATCGGCCCGAAGGCCATACACCGCGCAGAGTCCCTGGCACCCTGAGATGGGATTCGAACAGACTGAATTTGGAATATTTTTCAGTATAGCATTGTGAAATTGATCAAATATAATAAATAATATATTTTTCATTTATTTAATTACACTTTTTTAAGAAAAGATAAATCTAATGGTAATTTTATATAAGTCGGGTAGCCGATTATAGGTGGTTATAATCGATCATTATTACCTATCGATGTTCTTATGTTGACGTAGTATACACATGTTGTTTTCTTATTTGTACAGAGATCGTGGCATCCTGTGAAGAAAATTCAAGTTGAACCAAAAGAAATTGTTATGTGATGATGCCTCACGTTGGGATTCATATTTTATCACAGGATATGATTAATATCGCTTGGATCACACGAAAAGATTAATTATGTGCTTATTAGTAAACAAATTCCAATTCACTCTACTAAAGAAATAAGAAGAACATACTTATTTATTTTTATATGAAAAATGTAATTATATTTTAGCTGGTGATCCCATGTTACGATGTCTAGTAATAAGTTTACTGTTTTATGAACTAGCTTTACTATGATATAAATACAATTTATTTAATATAAAAAAGAAATGTTAATTATTCACTATATTTTTTCTGTAAATAACGATGAATAAAAAATGTGCGAAATCAGACTCCATAATTTCCTAAACCGTCCATGAATGGTATGTAACAAATAAATAAAGCGAAATTTATTATTTAGAGAGCCATAACCTAATTAAATTATGCTTGTTTTAATAATAACTATAATAACAAAACAGAAAACATAAACAAACGTTCTGATGTATGCAGAGTATTTCGTGAATTTAACAACACTTAATAATCAAAATTACTTTAAACTAAACAATAAAGACTAGATCCCTTTACTTTTAATTTAAAACAACGTTTCTTAGTGTCGTGGTTTGATTGAATTTTGAAAAATACATCGCAAGGAAAATGTCAGTAGATTCGCAATAAACTTGGAAATCAAAAGATTAGTATTCAATTGCGTCATTTTTAAATGTTCAAATATTAATAGTTGTCATTTACTATTAATACAATTGTGTTATGTGATGAAATGATGCATACAGACAGATCGACTGAACGGCCAATAAAAGTCGACTCATGGAAAGGTTTATATATCGATTATTTTGGTCTAAATTTATTTACCGATAAGTTGATTTCAAACGATATACATAGTTCGTTTGTGTCAAGGTGGGGTCTGTCAGTTAATAATTCATTATAGACTTAGGGATTTATTTCATACTGTTTAGTCTTATGTCAGAAATGTTTCTTTTATTATGAAATAAATAAAATCTTGTTAGATTTATTTTATTTTATTGTAATTTCGCGTAACAACAAAGGAAGCAATACACAACCTCGCAATATATTTACCTCCATATTTTTTTTATCGCAACTTTTAAGGAAAATAACGATTAACATTCTGTTAGCCTAGCTTAAGCATTTAAGTGTATGTTTATTTTCTATATACGCGGAGCTTTGTTTATTTAGGTTTGGAACTATTTGGGAGTTCGTCATTTTTCTTTGTTCCTATTACAATAACTTGTATTTTACTTTTGTTTGTTTGACTGTTAAGTTTGTGTGATAAAAAAGACGACCTAAATATCCAATCGTATTGCGAATCCAGATACGATGAAAATTATTGTACACTTTTTTATTTATAATTCTTGGTTACTGACCGGATCAAGAGTAAATTTCAAAAACTCCTGAATTTGATCGGAAGCAATAAATTACTGTGATATCTCATAAAGGGCGGCCAGAACACTTTACTGTAACCAAAAACAACAAACAAATTGTCCCTTTTTGTCAGTCATTAGGGATGGCTTGGTTGGGAACAAAATAAACTTTATTACTAATCGAATTGATTGTCCAAAATATATTTTAAAAAATATAAATAATAGATTTATTTTAAAAATCTACTTTTTTATAATTTAATAAAACGACATAAATCTAACTAGATGTCGCTACCGTACATTCTTGATTTCTCAATGACAAGTCTTCCGGTTTTATTTCATGTTTAACAGTAAATTAGTTTTCAAAACTCAATAAATAACTCATATTCTATTTGTACTTTTCGTATTTGTATTGATATCTAAGTTTTGAACTTTTCAATTTCCAAGTTTTTAATATGTTAGTTCATCATCATCATCAGCCCATATTCGTCCACTGCTGGACATAGGCCTCCCCAATTGCACGCCATCTACTTCGATTTTTGGCTGTTCGCATCCAGCTTCTGCCAGCCATCTTGCGCAAATCATCGCTCCACCGCGCCTGAGGACGTCCTACACTACGTTTGCCGAGACGCGGTCTCCACTCAAGAACTCGTTTACCCCAACGGTTATCGGTTCTGCGGCTAATATGGCCAGCCCACTGCCACTTCAGCTTGCTAATCCGGTGGGCTATGTCGATAACCTTGGTTCTCTGCCGGATCACCTCATTTTTGATTCGATCCCGCAGAGAAACACCGAGCATAGCCCTTTCCATAGCCCGCTGAGCGACCTTCAACTTGTGGACCAGCCGTGCCGTCAGTGTCCACGTTTCGGCTCCGTATGTCATAACGGGTAGGACGCACTGATTAAAGACTTTAGTCTTTAGGCACTGCGGGATCGACGATGTGAAGACCTGACGTAGTTTCCCAAACGCTGCCCAACCTAGCCGAACTCTTCCATTTACCTCGCTCTCGAAGTTGTTTCTACCTAACTGCAATGTTTGCCCGAGGTATACATATTTTGGAACAATTCCGAGAGCGGCACCGCATACTGCAATCGGTTCCGGTAGTACGTGTTCGTTGAACATGACCTTGGTTTTATCCAAGTTCATCCGTAGGCCGATGCGCATAGAAGAGTCAGCCAGGGTCATTCAGCATCTGTTGTAGGTCCTGCAGATTTTCTGCCATGATGACGATGTCGTCAGAAAATCTCAAGTGAGAGATGTACTAGCCATTGATGTTGATGCCACGTCCTTTCCAGTTCAGCGTCTTAAACATATCCTTCATTGCATTAGTAAACAATTTCGGAGACATAACGTCTCCTTGTCTCACTCCTCGATGCAACGGTATAGGACTTATCTGCTGATTCTGTACTTGGACGGTCATGGTGACGGCCTCATAAATACATCTTATCACTTGGATGTATATGTTAGTTAAAAGGAACGGAAATGACTGTGTTTAGTCCATTCGTTTCTTGTAAAAATTAACTTTGATAGAGTCGCCATCTAGTGGAGGTGCTTCTTTAGTGCTTTCGTTTTTCTAAATACTTGTTCATTTAAAAAATTAAATATAAAAAACTACGGTTGCATTAGCCTACTGCCATAAACCACTTAGCAGAGAATTCAGAAATAGAAGAAGAAAAAAAGCTATGTATTAACTATTTATTTCGTAAAACACCGCAGCGTATTATTACTGTACTCTTTGCACCGCAGTAAAAACAAGATGATATGAAAATACAATGAGATTTTTAAAGTTTTTTATCCACTTTAGTCACTTGAGTATTTCAGTAGCTTCTTTTCTACATTTGCTATCGCTTTTTGTTTATAATATCGGCCGGGAAACCTAGAGCAATGAAGTGTTGTAAAAAATGATTTAGTGTGGGTGTGAAGTTGGATATCCCGTAATGACGTAACTCGTGGGCGCGAGGAGTGTCGAAGGTTAATCAACGGGTTTTTTAATGTAGTAATTATTAAAAACAAAGTTTGAAGTTAAACTAGAAAAAATATTTTTTAAATTACCACCTATTCATAATATCAAATGATTGTACTAAATTACTGACTGACTTTTCGAGTGCTGCTAAAACAAAAAAGTATGTTTGCTAAACTAAATGGCGTTGCAAGTAACTCTATTACAAAGGTATTGTTAAAATATTGAAAATACGATATGAAACTACGTAATAAATAATTACTACATTAAAAACAGTTGCAGCCCATTCAAAATTTACCTATCAAATCTTCCCAAGGGGCCCCCACTATGAGTCGTTCTGTTCTGCATTAGAATTCATGATTTGTTTTATGTGTGTATCGATTACAAAACTATCTCAATTGTGTAGTTATTTAGTATTTCTTAACAGAATTCTTAACAACTGGGATTGTATCTTTATTTAAGTTAATTTTCTCATGAATTTTTTTAAATTCGTTTTTGCGCATCCGGGTTTTTTGTTTTTCTTTAAATTATTTATTCTTATTTTATACTTTTTAGTTACGATTCGTTGACTTCGTTATAAGATGGTAAATTTCGCAATCTAGTAATTTCATTGAGGGAGTTAATATCGTGGGGATTATTAAGTAACCTGCGGTGGTCTATACTTTACCGATTATTGTATTGGGTCACCACTTTACTGAAATGTTATGTGGTTTATCTATAATATATAAAGCTCAATTACCACTCACTGACTGACTGACTGACTCACTCCATGCTTTTTTCGGGTAGAAGGAGGGGGAAATCGATGTTTTCATGTATGGTGATTACGCCGATTCTCAATTTCTCGAGATTGAAATAAGTCTGCCTGCACTTGTTAAACTGTTTATTGTTAACTTTGAAGTTTTACAATTGAAAAGTATATTTATAAAAAAATGGTATTTATGCTGCGGCGACTCAAGGCGCAATGACCCTCTCTCCTCCGCTTCGTACATTACGTTACGTGACGTCACGGTCCGAACATCTTCCCCCGCGCTCGAAAGCTGTAGAGTTTCGAGGAACTGCTGCTGAAGTTGAATCAGGCAGAGGGCAAAGGTTGTGAATGGCTCGTCGCAATATGCCCTTTGACGTGCGTACATCTGCGACACGGGAAACTCCATCTGTTCCTGGGTATAATTTTACGACGCGAGCCATACGCCATTTCAATGGTGGTAAGTTTTGATCTTTGATGATGACCAATTCTCCATTTTGCAATCCTTTCTCATTTATTCGCCATTTTGTCCTTTGTTGAAGTTCACTTAAATATTCTTTCCTCCAGCGCTCCCAGAAATGTTGCCGCATGTTTTCAAGACATTGATAACGATTCAGCCTGTTAGGGTTGACATCCATAAGATTTTCTGAAGGCAGCGATGTGAGTGGTTTGCCGATCAGAAAGTGTGCAGGAGTCAAGGGATGGAGGTCGCAAGGGTCTGAAGAAAGAGGAGTCAGAGGACGGGAGTTAAGGATAGCTTCGATTTGTGCGAATAGTGTCGACAACTCTTCGAACGTTAAATGTTTATCCCCTAATATCCTAGTAGTATGATATTTAGCAGACTTAACGCCAGCCTCCCACAGACCGCCAAAATGAGGAGAACCAGCAGGTGAAAATTTAA